TCTTCAGATTGTTTGCACTAATAAAATAGAGTATCATATTTTTACCCTTGAACCATGCCTAATAGCAGAGAAAGGAAAGAACGTCTCATAGCCTCATTTCTTTAGGCAGTGTAAATCTTACTGGCTTCAGTGCATAGGTGTCGAACTCATTGTTGGAAGAAAAATCACCACAGTCTTTCTTAGTTTTCTTGGCTGACTATGTCTCCCTACGCTCTGTCTGCAGCTAATAGAGGCTTATTTGCAGGATCCTGGATTAGCTGACTTGACCCCATCCAATTCTATTTCTCCCTAGGGGAAGATGAGAGAAGTAGTTGAGTAAGTGTACAAGTGTACAAGACATTCATAAGTGTTTGTTTCTGTCTGAAAGAGTTTAGAGAAGGTGGGACATCTGCACAGACCATACAGCTGTTTTTCTGGACTGACAACTAGAAGGCAGCTGGGATTCCTGAGGCATCTGAAATAACACTAGAAGCTATATTTAGGCAACTGAATCAACCTCTCAGCAAGGCCAAGAGCTCCTCGTGGAGCAGATGTGTCCTGAAGGCCAGCTAAGAAGCTCTGCAGAATCCATTGCACAATTTGCTTAGGCATGCACTAAGTATAATGGGAGATCAGACACCTGACTTATTGAGACAGAGACCAAATTTAGGTGTCTTCATCTATTTATTGATCTTAAAAGTTTAGTGAATATTTATTGTGAGTGAAAACAGGGCATCCCAGAAATAGCCCTGAAAATATTAGTAAAAGGTCAGTGCCCTGGCATCGATATATTCCAGTGGTTTACTGTGAGGTCAATGACTCTAAGCTCTAAAGGACCCTGTGAAAGCAAACCCTGCGGTTGAATGTCTATTGGCAGTGGTATTAGTCCACTTCTTCAGCTGTCAAATTTCTTTTCTACTCAGACCTGCAGATCTGGTAGACATCTGGATCTGATCTGGACACTGTAAATTTGATGTCAGGTATATGGATTACACCACAGTCCTTCAAAAGTTTGGTTGTCCAATTTACAGGGTCTAGCTAAGACTACTTTCTGTAGCCACACCATGGGACTAGAAACACAGATGGCTAACAGCATCTAGATCAGGACTAGACAGATCTGGTAATTCTTCAATTCCAATTCTGGTACTTGGACTCCTTGGTTCTTGTGAAGAGCACAAAAAACCTTGTTACATCCCCTTACTCCTTACTGGCTACGATATCCCATTCCATGTCACTGCTGTGGGATTCAGGCTCCCAAATTTTGCCCTATGTCTGTCTCTACGAAAACCAGTAACTCAGGTGGCCTTTATGGTCAAGGGACAAAATAGATGTTGGGTGCAGTTCCCCTGCCCTGTCATTGTCACCTACTTTAGGATCAGATGATTCATACCTTGGACTCCATTGACTATATTGAGCAGTTCTCCAACGATCACAGAAGGAACTAGCTCCAGCTGAGACTTGTGAAGGGCTTCATAAAGTCAAGTGACCCCCACTAGAATGGTCTTTGGAAGAATGGTCTCCTGTGGCTAGATCATACTTTTGCTTCACTTACAGGACAAGTCCCCCCTTCCAGTGACAGTCACCCTGGTTCTTTATACTGCCCCTGAGACTCCGGTTGTGGCTGAGAATTATATGGTGCTAGGTGTCATGCAGACACCCATGACTAAGATGATCCCTTCCCTACAGTACTAGCGATGTCTCGTCTGACAAAGGGCAGGCTTCACAGCACAAGGATAATAGTGAGTCACTCTGGCTAAACACTCCAAGGGCAGATGCAGCTGCACCCACAAAGTTGTGCTTTGTGTTTATTAAGAAAAAGAAAATACCCCACTATAGGGGAAAAGTATCAGTCCAGTGAAAGTGTTGCTGCGTTGCTGCATTGCACTTGTGCTTCAGAGCAGTGAGGAAAACTCAGGATGAATCCTAGCTCTTCAACCTCAAAATGTGAAGGGCAGGTTGGTTTCACAGCTAACATGGGCTATACTGATTCATAGTTATGGTATTGAGTAGGATCTTAGTGCACCCAATAAAACCAAACGACGGATACAGGCAGGGAGGTGAACTTAAGGAAGCAGTAAGATGATATTGATCAGTTGACAGAATGGGGGAAAGAGAAACAGCCTTCAAAGCACGATTTCCATGGAGACTACTTTCCACTCCCTGTTTCTATGGCAGCTTTTATCAGGAGATCTTCATTGCTCTATGGTCTGCCTGGTCCTTGATGTAGAGGAGAGAAAGGGAAAGATAGGAATTGCCTCTTTATTGGGAACCAGAAGGAGATACTGAGAGGGCAAATGTGAGCCTGACACCAATTCTACTGACACCAGTAAGAGTCCTTCCAAAGACTTGAAATGTATGCCTAGAAAATAGACTGACGGTGACCACCTTGCAAATGCAGAGAGCCCACAGATTGTGTGCCTCAGCTTGTGGCTCCAGAGGAACCAGAACATAAGCTCCAGGACACAGACATTCCACTTCTTGTTGCCAACCAGAAGGGTTTGGTGTCCACTGAAAGGCTAGGCAGCCTACAAACTAGTCATAGGTTGTCTACAGGGCAGTCATGTGCAGAAAACCTAGAGCTCACTGTATTTGATGTGAAGAGCTCTGGATTGAGCCCTTCTCAGATAGGAAACCCTCAGCTGGTGTAAATGATATTCTTTCCACTAGCTGCCACAAAGCAGTGACTCCCTAGGACTTTGCCTGATATAACCTAGACCCTGCTCTTTTTTCTCAAATCCTGGCCTTTATGATCTCCTACATCCCACCCCAGATATGCTGTGTTCAGAATTACACACCTATCTGTCTCCATCATTCTCCCTTGCTCTGCACTCTCAGAGAAGACAAAAAAAAGCCACCCTCAAAATAATTTTTTATTGCTTTTCTGGGGATGGTGTGAAATCTTGCTCTTACAAGACTGACAGTAGAAATTCAAGCTTGATTTTCATCGCAGTGCTCTAGAGAAAACGGGCCGTGCCTGTCAGTATGTCAGGCATGATAGACTTCAGAAAGCTTCCATGGCAAAACTAGTAGAGGTAGTGTATGTGTTAACATGGCAATCACTTCAAAATTAACATAAGCAGTATCCCATTAATGCTGTATGTCTACCATGCTGGCTTGAAACAGGGTCCAATGCTGGAAGGACTGAAAATCTGCTTTGACAAACACTAATTGGAAAAAGGATTTTATTTTTTGTGAAAATACACTCCTGGTAGCAACAATAACCTTCAATTTCTGACACTATCTGCTGCATTGCAAGTCCCTTCTTCATCCCAGACTAGTCTAGAGACAGAACAAACACAGAGATACTCGATCCACATATTTCTAAGCTGTAGATATACCTGTCCCTTCAAACACAAAATGCCAGGAGGGTTTGCATTGCTATTATGATGCATGCAATGAATAAAAGCACTGACACAGTCCTCTCTCATCAGACACTTTTGTTTCCCAGCTACCATGAAGACGGTTTGCATCACTTTGCAGAACTCAGGGCATTGACAGCAGTGAGTGGCATAGGCAGGCACATTTCCAGTCTTATTTGTAACTCTGGCACACTGGGATCTATCGTGCTAGTTGGCATGCCACATGAAAGGCTATGTGATGACTCTTCCCCTGCTCCTCCTCTTTGGCAGGGATGACAGGTCTAACCAGACAGAATCTCAAATCTCCCTTCTCCCCCCTCCTTCAGTTATCTCATTGAGGCACGTGATTCCCAATGAGAGTTAGGAAGGGGAAAAGTTACAAAATTTTAATTTGTTAATTTAGAATTGCTGTGCATTGCCAATCAGTTCAAAGTTGAATGTGATTGAGCTGTTAGGACAGGGTGATTAACATCAGTAACTTCCAAGATATTTTCCAGCCCTGTGTAGTCCTGAAAACTAGAGAGAGATTGATTTAAATCTGGAGATTTAAATCCAGCTTGTGCTGGAAAGTCCTCTAAAACATGTGAAGAAAATTCAGAATAAGCATGCTAAAACGGAAAGAGCAAATTACTCCAGCACTGGTGAGATACAGGTGATGGAGAATATACTACACAACTTGCTTTTTAATTTCTGCTGTTGCAAAGCCCAACAGAGAGAAGGGGAGTGCAGAGGGACAGGATCCAGTGTAACACCATGAGCTGAGAAGGGAGGCAATTCATCTTGCATTTAAATGCTCTCTTGATCAGATTTTATCATGAGGTTGGTCTTCTTATTGGCTCATTATCAAACAGGATTTCTTTCCCAGATCTTAGATACAAAAACACTCCCAAGACATATATCCTCTTCCCTTCCAGAGTAAAGAAAATGATGCCTGGTTTTATTGAAACCAACCCAGAGTAGTGTTTATTATTGAAAATATACAGTATTTTTGAACATCACATAAAAAGCCTAGTAGATACATCTGCTCTATTTCAAAATGCTCAACAGATAATCTTTGTGCAGCATGTAGCACTACCCTCATAATGCAAACATCATCTTCTCATTATTATTTTTACAGTGCTTCCCTTTTGTATTTTTTAAACCCAGAAAACAGTCTGTTGTCCTTCCCCACCCTAATCCTCTTAGCTGAAAAAAACAAAGACTTTCCAAAGGCTACTTACATTGTGTCGAAAGCAGGGGCTAAGAGGAATAAGGATATTTTATAGAGCTATCTAGAGTAGAGATACTGCTGTCCTTTTCAATATTTTGTATACGAACAGGGCATGGTTCTTGCAAGGCAAAGTGCCCTCTGTTAAACAGTCCAGCGATGCCCTGGCCAACTCCCAGTCTATGAAAGGGAGAAAAGGGGAAGGTAGATAAATTCGGATTTTTCACATCACTTTTCAGATGCTCTTCTTCTTGCTGCCACATGTTCTCAAATGACAGTTCTGCAGAGAAGAAATTTTTACAAAGAAACAAGAAAGAGATGGGCTATATATACACCAAACTGTTGAAATCATTGTGAATCAATGTAAAGGGTGAGATGGGCAGTATGTTAAAAATAGTCTTTGTTCACCACAAGATGGAAGGGAAAAACAAAAAAAGAAAGGGGCAAAAAATTGATTGTTCCTGCCAGTGTGCTGATTTAGACTTTGTATTGTGAACTTTCGCAAGGTGCAGTCAGTGTTGAATCTCTTTCTTCTTTGAATCTGTTTCGCCACCACCTACTTCAAGAGGTTTTTGTCTGGTTGCCTTAAAGCAGCATCACGAATATGCGAGATGAGAGTCCACAAAAATACGATAGGCACCTCATTGCGAAAGAGAGCAGTGCAGAATAAAGGAAGAAAGTTTGAAGAAAGGGGCTTGGGGAGGGTGAAGAAAGAAGAACCCTGAAGGCCACCAAGTAGTGCATGTGTGTGCGGGGCATATCACACGGCTGCGGTCTGTTTGATGCTGTGGAAGCTGATCCGTGTTGGAGAGGTGGGGATAGACATGGCACGTGCCACACGCACTCGGAGGGAGTGATGGTCTTGCCAGCGGTGCCATCTTTTCCTGGCAGCAGAACGGACCTGGTGAAAAAAAAGGAAAGAACATGAACACTTAGAATACTCAGGTGTTCTCTGTAAAGAGACACTAGACAGCACTGAGACAAATGATGATACCTGTCAAGCCACTGAAACATGTAGGGCTTGATTCAGCTGCCTAAACATGGGCATCCAGTTCACTTGATATTCTCTTGGGTACTGTACTCCGGGAAAAGCATGGGTTTCACATATCTCATGTCTCATTTCTGATGTCTTAAATACCCCAGAGCATTTCAAAAGGCAATAAATACCTAAGCTTGTGCAACTGAATCAAGCCCTCAAGATGGATGCACCCGATGGAGGTCTTGGAGAGATCTATCACAGGGGCTATAGTTGCCCCTGCTTCCCTTGTACATGAAGTCACAGCTTATCTAACTAAACATTGGTGTCTACAACAGAGACACACCTGACTTAATCCCTGTAAGCATCTTGTATAGGCAGTGGAGAGCTACTCTACAGTCAACAGAAGGTCATCCTCAAACAGATGCTTGCAAATAGACCAGATGAATCTTGAACTTTAAGTACTTTTTTTTTTTGCATGGACCATGGAGAGAGTCCAGGAACTCTAGCTCAAATATATATGTATATAAGCAAGAGAAAGACAGGTGATGGGAATCCTAGCCTCAAACACAATAGGAGGGAAGCCTTGAGATACTCCTAACATAGACTGTAACCAATTCCTGCCAAATCACTGGCAGAGAAGACTCAAAGTCAGAACCTAGAATGAAACATTTAGACCAATTTCTGGACATTCTTGTTGACCTCTGCTTACTGTAGAAATGAGAGCAATTCAGATCCCTAACCTAGGCAGCTAGGTACGCCTGCAAAATCTGGGCCCAGCTTCTTGGACAGTCAATGGGTAATTGCACTCATGACACTTGGAAAGGATGTTGACATTCTGCTGACAACCTGAAATCCAGTCAACTTTGAAAAAAGGGCATTTTAACACAAAATCTCTATATCAAGCCAGGGTCTCCTTTGCTAAAAATACATTTGTTTAGGAGGTGGGGTTATAAATAATATAATGTAGACATTACACCTCAGCTACTGACCCACAGCTCTCTTTCTGACCAAAAAGAGAACCCATCAGTATGGTCAAAGGGTATGATTCATCTCCTCCTAAAGCAGATATCTAAAGTAGGCCAGATACTGGGATCAGATGAAAAATACCTGTTTCCTTTCATTAGTTATAAAGTGAGTCTAGACAACTAGCTCTGTTTTTAGATGTCTAGACATTTAGATATATAAATTTAGCTAAATTTAGACAATATTGATATCTTACCCTAAATGTTTTTCAGTCTTTAATGTACTTATCTTCACTGCATCCCTCAACAGTAAAGGAGTGTTCTTATCCCCATTTTACTATCAGCAGGCGAAAGCTTGGGTATTAATAATGGTGATGTTGTTGTAGAGTAGACCTCAACATGGATCAGCTACCATGGCAACTGTACAAGCCTGGGATGACCTCGCACAGCTGTGTGAAACCCATGTTGACACAGCTTCTCAGCTATCAGCACCTGAGTGAGGTAGATAGAAACCATCCTTGGTGTATCTATAATCACCACTGGGACTGCAAGGAAGATGATGTTGAAACAAATTGTCCAAAGCTGCATACCCACTACTTTTCTCCATGTTTGTTAAAGCTTGGGGCTTGTCTTCAGGTGCAGTGTGAAGTCTACTCAAAACATGAGGAAAACACACTTCCCAACCCATGTCAGACCAGCTCCAACATGCTGTCTAACGGGTGCTCAAATGAGTTGATGAGCTCTAGTAGCAGAGGTGTTTCCCACCCAAACCACATACTGTCACTATTAGGTGTCCTAGATGAACAAGAATGATGGCCTGATGGTTAAAACGTACAACAGTTCATAAGAAGGACGTTGGAAGGAGGGATCTGAAATTCTCTCAGATGGTTTCATTCCTCCCATTTCTTGGTGGACCTTCAGGGATTTAAACAGACCCATAGACTGTAGCACTACTACTTAGAAACTCTGCAGTGCTGTGGTCTGGCACCAGACAATCCCCTCTCATCACCAGCTTTGTCCATGAAATACACTCCATTTCAGATTTGTGAGTATCAACTCTGAAAACAGTTTTGCAATTGCCCTCTTTGGTGCCCTGTCAGGGGAATCCTGAACCTGGAAATGTGTAGAAGGCACAGATTGGGCAAATCAGACCTGAGGATCTCTTTCTTTGGTTATTTTCTCAACTATGTGTGATCTATGCTGCTTGATCTGACATTCAAGAGAAGTAGATGTAGATGTTTATAGTAAGGTGAAGAGAGTATCACACTGAGTTCCTTTCTTTTGATTTTTGAATCAGTGATTTGTTTCAATATAAAATCATGGGTTTTATACTTAATAGGGGTGGGACAGACCCTAGAAAAATAAAAGCTATGAGGGAATAGGACTGTTTGCATGGAGAAGGGGAAAAGCAAACATCCAATGAAAGAATAATTAAAATTAAAAGACAACACTGCCAGGAACAGCATGATCATCATGAACAAATTTGAGATGAGAATGAGAACAATGTGGTTAAACAAGAGTGCAGGGAATTTCTGGAGGAGTTTCTCATGATGAAGTAGTAGGAACAATATGCCTCCACTAGTTTCAGGATGGGGTTTGGTCAGTTTACAGAATGAGTTAAATGAGGTAGTTATATGAGATAGCCATAGTCAGGATGGGCTTACTCAGTCAGATACTACTACAGTAAAAGACAGCCTGGGCTGCTGACTTTCACTGTCTCATCAAACTGACCTCACTGAACCCTCCTGTTGAAACACAAGAAACAGTGGAAAGATGTCTCATGGTGTTGCACTTCCCTGCATGCCCACTATAAGCAAACCTATCATGGTTCTACGTGGAGTGGCAAAGAGATACTTATTCCTGATTCTGGATTTAAGGGAGGATATAATATACACCCAAAGGCAAATACATATGTCAGAGTACATACAGGGGAGGATGCATCTTGTCTGAAAGCTTGATAGCTAGTCTTGGCCAATTTTTTATGCTTTCAACATAGACAATGGAGAAAGAGAGATGATCCTGCTGAGGAGGTGACTTAGATATGTGGAATGAATAAGTCCTTGCTCCATCTTGCTCCTCTGAGTACAAAACCAGCTCAGCTAAATGTTGGGCTCCTAAGGTAAATGGTATAAATAACATGTAAAGTGTCAGAGGGATAACCATTATCATGGGAAATTGTTCCATGAAGAACATGGGACCTGATCTGCAGAGGGATGTGGCGTCTTGAATGCTCATTTCTCCCCAGATGTCACCAAACTCTGAGATATTGTTAGAAAAAGTTTTTCCCCTTTCTGCTAGAGTGAAATTCACCCTTGTGCAGGGAGCCTGTGATCACTTAAGTCCTTCAAAGTTGTGAATTCATCTCTGGTGCAAAAGCAGACAGTAAATCTCTGTGTACAGCACAGTCTTGCTAAAGACATTAATAGCAGACTGGCAGTCCCACGAGTTCATCCATCCCAGGTACTCCTGCAGCAGCATTTAACTGGGTCATGAAAAGGGAGAGGCACGTGGTGGGCTTTTTGTGTTTCTCAGCAACTTGTGTGAACAGATACTTACTCAGCCAGTGAAGCCAGATTAGATTTATCATTTGTGCTTCAAACCAATCAAGTCAAAAAGAGTCACCTGGAGATAAAGACGTGAGTCTAAACAAGCAGTTGTCTGAATGGCTTTTATATGGTTTGCTTACAAACTTTTAGAAAGGATAAAAAGTAGCAACAAAAATGCTGCCTTCCTGTACAGCTGGAGCCATTCCTAATGGACTGGGCACATGGAAGTAGACCCTGCACTTACTGGGGTGAGTGCAAAGCATTTCTTAACGACAGAATAATTCACTGCAATTAGGATGTGACCAGAGCGCAAGCAGAAAAGGTTAAGCTCAAATTTATCCCTTACAATTGAACTCAGAAACAAAATGCTAGCTTAAATTTAAGTCAGAAAAGAAAAAAGAAAACCGGCTGTGACTGCTATAATAACATGTTAAAAAAGACACCAAAAAAGTTATTACACAGCGGAAGAATAATAGAAAAAGGTAAAGCAAAATAGCAACTTCAAACCTGCTTGTTAAATTCCATGAGAGCAACTACTTTGATCCATTAAGTATTTGTAGAGTCAGTACCATGTCCTAGAGTCAGCATTAGCACATCTATGATCTGAAATTAAGGGCACTTGCCTGTAATAGCCCAAAGATGTGTACAGGCTATCATCAGTGGTTAAAGCTTAACAAAGAGTCTCAGGAATACAAAATACCAGCTTCACCTCTATGTAACTTTAGCTGCTTGAGATGACAAAGTTTATCTGTGCTGCCGAGCAGAGCTCAGTTCTCTGTATTGATCCTTGGTCTGTCTTTTTCTTGAAGTCACTCTCTGAACTACCCCTTTCAGCTCTTTGCACTTTGTGTACTGTGAATAATCACAGTTTCTGAACATATGGTCAAATCAGATTTACCAACATATTTGTGCCTACAGAGTATGGGCACTGCTCTCAGCAGGATTACTTTAGAACAGTCAAGAGAAAGAATTCAGGTGATGGGATGGAGAGAAGTCAGTGGGTGATAGTTTTTCTTTCCCAACTGGATGACCTAACCGAGGAGTTCTCAAACTTTCAGATCACATCTGAAAATCACTAAAAACCACATCTGATCATAAAAATTGTTAAAAACCTCTCCTCTACTCATAACCTCTATTCATAACCTCCTCTATTCACAACCTCTACTCAGAAGAACAACAAAAAGAAAGAAAGAGATAGAGAGAAGGATGAAAACATGCAGAGAAGGTTTGCTTTTGTTAAAATAGACATCAACTTTGTATTGCTATTACTTATGCTAGACACTGGCTGCCGGCTAATTTCTTGCAGCCATCAATTAGAAATGAGATGAAGGAAGAGCCTTCAGCGACATTAAAAATTAGTTTTTGGAAGAAATGTCATGTCTTATTAGTAGAAAGGAGAAAGCTTGATCCATTT